TTGAAGACTATTATAATCACACGATGTCTGAAACGGGTTTCACGGGATTTGATTTGAGACATAACTTGGATGCGGTCGACGGCGCCCACGGAATCTATTCCACCGATTATTATACAGAAAGTGCTGTGAAATTAATATCCGATCACAACATAGAGAGACCACTATTTGTGTACATGTCTTACCAGAGCGTTCACTCAGCTAACAGTCCGTACGAACTCCAGGCGCCCAAACAATTAGTCGATAAATTCAGTTATATTAAGGACGAGAATAGGAGAATATTTGCGGCCACTCTTTACTCAATGGATTTGTCGATCGGAAGGATTGTCAATGAGTTGCATAACAAGAATATTCTTAACAATACTATCATTTTATTCATGAGTGATAACGGGGGAGCTATTAGTGGTTTTATGGGTTTGTGTTTTGTAATCATTGATTTACTGATTGATGTTTTAAATTCAATTTCGTGTTAATTCATTGATTACTTGTTTTGTAGAAAATTCTGGTTCTAATTATCCATTGAGAGGAACCAAAGGGAGTCTATGGGAGGGATCGGTAAGAGTGCCGGCATTTATTTGGAGCCCTTTATTGAAAAACCATGGATTTGTTTCCGATACTAATGTCCGAGTGATTGATTGGTTGCCCACTCTATTGGAAGCAATAGATGGCAAAGAAGTAGATAATGGCAATCAATTTGATGGCATATCTCTATGGAAAATACTTAACCAACAAAAGTGTCAAAAACAAAATGAATTGCTGTTAAATATCGATCCGCTTTGGAATATGTCTTCAATTATAGACAATGAGTGGAAACTAATTCAAGGATCAGTTCCCAAGAATTTTTCACAACAATCAGATCAATGGTCGCAAAGTTATGACAATATTAATCAAAATAATAACTTATTTATAAATTCCGAGAGATTTGATTCAATTGTGTATAAAATTTTGCAAAAAGAGAAAAGAAGACCGAATTTTGATATTTTTAATGAGACATTAATTGATTGCAAAGTTAATAAAAAGACAACGAATTGTGATTTAACTGAAGACATGTGTCTCTTTAACATCAGATCAGATCCGTGTGAATATTATAATGTGGCCAAAGATTACCCGCAAATTGTTGACAAATTGTGGCAAAAGATCTTAATTCATAACAAGACAGCGGTTCCGCCTCTCAATCTGCCGATTGACCCGAAAGCCAATCCTATTTATCACAACAATTGGTGGAGTATTTGGGTTCAGGACTGAAATGATTGAGAATTTTATAATAAATTGTTTACTAAAATGAGATTTTATGTCAAAAGCCTGAGTCTAAGCGTTTGTATAATTGATTTATTCCCGCATATAATCGATGCCAGACTTGAAAGTATTAAATCAATGTTTGTATCAAATAATGTAAAAAATTAATTCAATTTAATAGTTATAAGTTATAACAAATCTATTAGTGTTTTTGCAATTATAATTGCAAAATAATGTCTGAATATAAGCCCACAGTTGCAGTCAATGCACGACTTTATAGTTATATTATTTGCAATTAAAATACGGGTTATTATAAAAGCTATAAAACAAAAAGTATTTTTTAAAACTCTGCAAAAGCTAAACAAAATTATCACAATTGAGTTGATTGTGAGTTAAGGCAACACTAAATCACCGGAGAATGACTTTAATAGCGCAAAGTCTTTCCGTCCAATTGATAACTATATCTATTATATCACTTCAAAGACAACTCCTCCACAACGAGGCGGCGAACAGAACCCAATGGAACAGTACTTATGATTATGTGGTGATCGGCGCCGGGAGTTGTGGCTCAATAGTGGCCGCCAGACTCACCGAAGATCCCAACGTTAATGTTCTGCTTATAGAGGCCGGCGGTCCGCAGACTGACATCACCGATATGTTGGCCACCGCTTGGATAGGAATGACCGGCGAAAACGATTGGGGGTATATGACTACTCCCCAAAAGAGGGCCGGTATTTAAGTAGAAATTATGATTTTGCTATAGTTTTAAACATATTATTTCAACCATTCAAAGGGTTTGCGTTTGTGAACCGGCAAATGGTGTACCCGAGAGGTCGCGTATTGGGCGGCTCTTCGACCACAAACTATGCCATCTATAACAGAGGCAATCGTCGGGATTACGACAACTGGGCGAACAGATACGGGGCCACCGGCTGGTCGTATAACGATGTGTTGCCATACTTTTTGCGAATGGAGAACCAGACAAACCCGGCATATATTGCCAACACTGCCTACCACTCGACCTCCGGTCAAATGCCCATCTCTTCGGCACCAAATCCGGACCCGATTTTGCTCCGATATATGGAGGCCTGGGGTAGAGAGGGCTGGCCTACCATTGACTTCAATGGGCCCACACAACGGGGAACAAGTAATTGGTTTTGTTTAGTATAAAAGTGATAATTAATA